AGGTTCCAAAATGAGCCGTTTCTAGGTTCCAAAATGAGCCGTGTACCTTCCTATGGAATAGAACCAGAAAGAAAAATAGACTTGTTTTCGAGGTCTTTTCGCAACTTTCCTGAGGTTGGGCCCCAGCCTAGTGGGTCACTTCATCTCCTGGTGGCGCGGCACCGGCGCCGGTCCAGCCGACCCCTTGCTGCGGGACCGGTGGCGCGTCGTGCGGAATTACCTGCTGCGGCAGCTGCGGAAGCTCCAGAGCCCGGCAGAGGACTTCGTGACTTGGGCGACGTTCAGGACGACTGGAAGAGTGGAAGAGACTCCAAAGAACCAAAGATGCTTCAAACATGTAAGAATAAAGGAACACATCATGGTCCTGTCCTGTGTTTGTCATCCACATCTGGACCGCCGATGTTTCAAAAGCACCACAACACCAAAATAATTAGCACCCGAAACGAATTCGGTGATTGAGTTGTTTTTGTTTTCTGTGTCTGTGTGTGTTTTTTTAACCATTGATTTTCGCCTGTGAAACACCACGCGTGGCGAGAAACGTCACACCATGAGGTCTTGGCCATGTTGGACGCACGTCGCTGGAAGGGCTTGGAGCAGTTGGAGCCCCTGGCCTCGGGCGCGAGCCAGGGGCTGCGGGACCAGCACCACGTCAGCGAACTGCTGGGCGACTTGAAGGAGTTGGCCTTAGGAGTCTTTCATTGTCGCATGCCTGCGTGGGCACCTCGGAGAAGTTGGCTTGGAGAGGGAGTTAGGTGGTGGTAAGGCTTGTAAAGGGGGCTAGTAGGAAAAACTATGAGGGTATAAGCATTTGATGAGGCAATTAAGGCTAAATAAGGCTATAGGGATGTGTTATTTGTCGGCTGCTCTGGGTCACTACGCTTGGTCCAGGAGGTAGTTGAACATGCTTGAACCTATTTGAACCTTCTGCCACCTTCTTCAGGCCTACAGAGTCTTGGGCAGAGCTATTGAGAAGATCGAGCGCGAGAAGCTCCGATTCTTCTTGGAATGTGCCGAGGAGGTCTTGGGCTTGTTGCGGGACCACACTGACTGGGGCGCTGGAGCCCCACCAAAGCGCATCTTGTTCAACAAGGACCGGGTCGACGAGTAGTGGGGCATGGCCTGGCAATGGCGTGTTGGAACTGCATTGTAAAGAGGATGCACTGTGGTTGAAGCACGTTGAAATGCCAGCTCAGCCGATTCCACCTGTTCCATCTCTCCACCAGGGTTTTTCCCCGGTAAGCCGGTGACACTCTGATCACCTAGCTGAAAACATGAATTACGTGAGAGCGAACCAACACAAAGAAAGCGACACGTCCACGAAAACATTGCTGCGTCAAAAGCACAGATCCAGTTCAAACTTCCAGGCATTGAGATTCTGGCCACACCCCATGGAAATGATGGCCGCAAAAGAATTGAGATCCTGATTAGTCAAGTAAACACGGGCCCCCATCACCGAGCCCTTAGGCAACGCATGCCCGCACTTGTGTGCCCATGTTGCATTGTGAACACCAGGGAGGAGAGTCTGTTCCTCACAGGAAAACACCAAAGTACAACTTTGAGGATGTCAACAAAGGTCGCAATATCAGGTTGAATCTTCTCCAACGGTGACTTGCAGCGTACAAAAAGCAAAGCAATTTCCACATAACTCGTAGATAGCTCAGCAGAAACACGCCAAGACAGGCCTTGAAGGAAGTTAATCAACGTGTGCGCGTCAGCGACGGAAAATTTCGTCATTAGCTTGGCAGAGATGCTGTCTGAAGATGAAGGCACCCACTCAAAATCCGCTCGAACAGAATCCCACAACCAAGTAGAAAAACGTCGTCGAAACACTTCAGCTTCATCATCGTGCTCAAGTTCAGCAATGGTTTCGTATTGAGGCTTCAAAGGAACAATGTCTCCAATGGTCTGGTTCAACCTAGCCAATGCGATTTGCCGAACAAAAGCTTCGTGATGCAACAGCGCAAAAAGTTTTGGGTCAATCGGAAGCAAAGAAGCAGCACATTCGGAGGCTAGCTTATCAGCAATGCGGTTGCAAATAATATCTTCACGCCGAAAACCAACCTGCTCCGCAACAGCATCGGAAATGGCCTCAATAGGCAGATCATCACACGTGTGAGCTCGCATCCACTTGAGCTCAATAGGATTTGCACATAAAAGTGAACGCGCAGCCCACAGGCGGAAAAGAACAATCCACCATTGGCTATGAGACCACTCCCGTCCGATAGCTTGGTTTTTGCACATATCGTGAAAAAGCTGAACAACTGTAAGAGAGTCAGTCGTGATGCACACTGGTCCTTGGGACAAGGCGACGGCTTTAACAATGGCAAACAATTCTGTGGCATAAGAGGTCAAATGGATGTGGTCGACACGTCCAACAAAAACCGTATTCAGGTCGGAATCAACAATCGCACAAGCACCCGTTGTGATCCAGAAATGGTTTTGGAAGAACACAGAACCATCCGTCCATAAAGGCCGCCGGTTTTTGGCAGCATCAAAACCGAGAGTCTCATCGATTGAGAGAGTTTGCCAACACATGCGAAAGTTGCACAAAGCTACAGGGTGCTCTGTGATCCCAAAAAGAGAAAAGTTGGGGCCAAGGTCATGTGAGGGAGCTCTACGAAGCTCGTGTGGGGCTTCCGAGCACTCAAGAACGATATGGCGCAACGACTCTTTGGAAAACCCACAAAACCTGCATGATGGGTCATCTGTGAACCCCACGGCAGCTCTTCTATCATTGGTTATTGTGCACCCAACTAGTTGGGATTCATAATGGGGGCACAAGGACACCTTGGAGTTACGGGGGGGCTTGTACTTATGGTAGAAGGCAGTGGACAGGTGGTAGTCCAATAAGCCAACAGGTTTAGCAACATCTTTCCGGGCTTTGGCACCAGAAGCCTCGTAACATGCCTGGCGGCCCATAGTACACAGGAAAGGTCTCAGATCCCGGGGTGTGACATCCAAGATCTCAAATCTTTGTTGTGCAATTCCTACTTGCATGGAAGGAAACAACCGCAAATGAAACACTTCCAGGGCACTCGAGACATGATATAACAAAGATTGCTTATGCTGGATACACCTCGAAAAGACATTCTGCAGCTTGGCCAAGATCGTCGGATCGTGATGTACGAATCGCCAGAAATTCCGGACAGCCGTGTAGGCCCTCGCAATCCTAGGCTCAACTAAGCAAGGCTGTGACAAAAAGCAAAACACCAACATTTTGGACCTCCAATGTGGTCGGTTTTGCCATAACACCGTTGCAATGTCGGTTTGAAGATCGCTTAAGACCTTTTTGGGGATGTCAGAAATATCGGCAGCATACGTACACTGTGGGATAACTTTTTGATGCAATAAGCTCAGCTTTAATTTTTCGTGGCAAAGGAAGGGCACCAATGTTTCGGATATCAGTTCTAATCTTAGCCACTTTTTTCTCACTAAACAAGAAAGCATCTTTGCATCTTTAGTGGACGTATAAATCTTTGTACCTAAGGCATCGAACTCGCATGCCACTGGAATCAGGGGGAAGATTTTCTTGGCAATTTTCCGAGCGCTCGATGATGTAGCCCACAGTGTGCTCTTAGCGGCATTGAGTTTTTGACCAATGAGCTGGTTCCACAACTCCGTGGCATCAAATGCATGGCGAAGGTTTTGGATGTGGTCAATATGAGCCCAAATATACGCGTCGTCAATGAAGACCTTACACACCACATTAGGAATCAATTTGATGAACCTCACCCAAACTGCCATGTACGTGTTGATGGCAAGCAAAGACAAGCTACAGCCGATTCCACCTGTTCTGTTCTGATTCGGCAGCTGTGCCCCACATCTACCACTCCTGGACGACGAAAAAACCATGCCCCATCCCACCAGGACGAAGCTCGCAAAGCCCCTGCGGCCATTCTTCGTACCTTGGGTGAACTCAGCGATCTGGCAGAAGCTCAGGAAGTCCGTGTGACCACCGTGGACAACGGTTTCTTCGCGAATTGGCTGCAGGTCTTGGATGCGGCCTTTTTCAAGGACGAAACCGCCTCGCTGGAACCGGAGTCTTGGAAAGCTTGAGAATGTTATTGCGTTTTTTGGTTTCTTGCTGGGATTCCGACTATGGTGGTGTCCAAAGAATGAAAGGAATCATGTTAGACAAAACCTACGAAGAAGACTTGGACATGAAAAGTGTTTGAAATATAAGTTTCAAACGCTTTCCTTTGATGTTTTGATACGGATCTGAGAGTAGATCTGAGGATTGGGTCGTCACTGGCCAGGAGCGCGAGTTCAACTATGGCTCCCCGGGCACCGACGTCTTCCACGGCCTCTTCCAAGACCTTGGATCGCGCAGCTCTCCCAAGCCGAGCCATCCGAGCGCTCCAGCCACGTCCGCCCAGACCACTCCTGGCGCTGTGACGCATCGCTTCGATGTGACGCATCGCTTCAACTTTTTGCTCATCAACGTCTTCCGCGGCCACTTCCTCCGCGGCGCTCCGGCCGCGGCCGCGCGCCGCCGGTCGCGCTACGCGGAGGTCGCGCGGCGCACCTTCCGGCCGCGGCCAGAGCTGCTGGCGCGGCGCGACGCGGTGCTGGCGCGCAGAGCTCCAGGAGCTCCGCTGATTGGCGTCCACAAGCGGGTGGACAACCCGGGCACTGCCCGGATGCAGCTGGAGCAACGCATGCTTCAAACCGAGTCGTACATCGCAGCGGTGCAACAGGTGCTGGAGAACGTCAAACAGTCATAAACCGTCTATTCATGTCAGTGTCTCCCCACAAAACACTGATCAAAAAGTACAGGAGTTATAAGATGTTATAAGGCCGGATGTGTTTTTTTGGGGGCAAGACCGATGATGTGTCTTGGTAACTCAGGTCTCTTCCGATAATCTCACTTTTTGGTCATTCTTTGAGAATTCTATTGGATTGGATCTAGCTCTTTGATGTTAACCTCTTTACCCATGGACGCCCCCTCATTGGGCGGCGCACGCCCGCCCTTCCTCGCACCAGGTGATGTCGCAATATGCGACGTCCAACGGCGGCTGCGAGCCGATGGTCCTGTTGGCCAGCGACGATGACCAGGCCGTGGCGGCCTTCCAGGACTCCTTCGGTGATCGACTTCTGTGTCGTGAAGCGGTCAAGAGGAGCCAGGGTGGCATCAATGAACGAAAGCTTCCACGTGAGGTGCATGGACAAGAAGAGAGGTTGAGCCTGGAAGATGCTCAGGATTGTTTGATTGATGCACTGTTGCTGGCTGAATGCGATGCATTTGTCCATGCGGACTCCAACTTGACCATTGCAGTTGGCATCATGAATCCTCATTCCTCAGCCTTTCACGTGCGTGATCTCGTCGATGGCTCTGAAGCGGGAGTTTGGCCTGGCTATAAGCGCTGCGGCCTGCCGTTCTGACCGGAAAACCGGAGCTGTTGCGAACTTCCGGGCAGAGGTTCTAGAATCCCTTCCCCTAATTAGCATCATGAGAATCATTCTGTGGTATACACTCAGAGTAACGCCATCAATCAAACGGCAGTAGAACACCAGAAGAAGTGGTAAGTGGTACTGGTAGAGCCCTTTGAGTGGATCAATTCCAGGGTTTCGTGAACCCCATCAGGCCCTTGATCAGAATGCAGATCGCAGAAGTGCTGCAACTAGCCCTGTGACTGTGTCAGGTCTATAGGCCTGACTTGGGCTATTGGTGCCTTGGCGCGATGCCGCGGAACATCATGGAACTGTGTTCTTGGCATTCAGACTCTAGAGTTGAGGTCGCCTGAGTAGGTAGAGCCTGAAGGCCATGAAAACAATAATTCCCAACAGAGCTACAGAGCCTACCCAGGTTAGGCAATCTCAACTCTAGAGGTTTGCACGTCGACTTTCCTTAATCCCTTTGCTTCGAGCGATTTTTGAGGTGCACAGGTCACTAAACATCAATGAAATGTGTGCCTCATGGAGCATGGTGGACACAGGTCGGTCCCACCCGCTAGCCACCGCCATTCCCTTCAGTTGCTGGCGTCCAGCATGGTTTTTCGTTTGGGTGAACATCAGTCCCACGGCACGGATGTGGACAGCGGCCGGAAGGCGGACGGACACGGAGACGAGGACACGGACGGCGGCCCTAACGACGTGGCCCGCCCGGCCCAGGGTGGTGCCCATCTTGTCGGTCAAGGTGGACGGCCTCGAGCTGGACATGTGCAAAGCCTCTTGGCCGACGGTCGACGGTGAGACGTCGAGAGCGTGACAGTGTCGATGCAGCGTCGATCCAGACAGCGGTCAGAAGGAGAGACGGAAGGAGAGCATGTTCCAGACCTTGTTTGAGCATGTTCCAGATGGTACAATGGGACAGAGGAGATGTGAGGAGATGCACCATCTTCTTGACGCCTTGGAGCTCTTCCGTAGGCCCGTAGGCTTTGTTGGAACATGTTGGAAGTTCCTTGCACTGATGACCTGTGTCTCGGAAAGGCCACCCTGACATGCCAAAAATTCTTCCCGCACTCGGAACAAAGGTGGTGATGCCAGAGAACTGGCCTCCCAAATAAGATACGTGGCAAATCTATGCCAATGTGTGGATCAAGAACTGGCATGGACATATTTCAGCCATCCTATCAGGGTCACTGAGTGTTGTGATGCATGCATTGGAGTGCTCCCATCACAGACCTGAAGAGATGTCTTCAACGCCCACGTGGGAAGATGACCACCCTTGAAGAACGGACACTCCAACGCCCGGGGCGTTCGCCGCGGCGTCCGCCGGGGCGTCCACGCCGCCAGGATGGGACGTGCCGCGGGGTGGTGGACACTGGAACCTCCCACTTGGGCATCCCTGGGCCACATGACAAGGTGCCACTTCTGGGCGTTCGCTTCGGGGCATCCGCGGGTGCCAATACGCGCCAATACGCCGAGCATGGGACCCATGAGATGGGCCATATCCATGATGAGCCGGGGCATGTACATGTAGTGATAGGGCTGTGGGTGAAGACCTGGAGGTTCTTCTTTTGACCCTGTTAGGTTGACCATGTTGGGTAGTCTATTCATGTTTATTCTGTTCAACTAGAAATCCTGAAATCTCCTGTTTTTGACTGCATAGGTCTAGGTATGTACATATACCTGGGCCACCTAATCGGTGTCAGTGTAGTCCATTGGACACCATTGGATGGTCCTTGCATTCGTATAAATTGAATCTAATTGGATGTTTGTTCCACAAAAATTGATGCAATACAGCGCCCGATGTAGGATGTCTTTGGAAGATGCCTTGCAGGTGCACTTGCCGCAAGTGTGAGAAGAAATGCTTGGACCTCTATAGAGCCCATTCCAGTGAGATGTGGTAGGAAAGGCCCTTCAACCAAGGTGATGTGGCCAGGGTGGTACAGGCGTTTTTCCCAACGGCCCAGCCTGAAAGGAACTGGGGAAGATGCTGAAAGTTGACGCTGGGGACTTGCTCGACTGTCGGTTGGCTCAAAGTCCCAAACTGGATCCTGGGCTCAACACCTCGCGCGGCGCGTGGCACGTGGCGCGCCACGCGTTGTGGCATTGTGCCGCGCCACGCGCCACTCACGCGGTTTGGCTGGGTAAGGGCACATGTGGCAGGGAGACATGAGCCAAAAGGTGTTTGTTGAGGTGTGATTGTGGTAAATGCAATTGCCTGGCCTCCTTCTCTTTGTTCGCTTATGGCTTCTGAGGGCTCCATTCCACACCCAAGGCCACAAGGCCACATCAAGACGAGCTTATATAAAGGCGAAATCTTTGACTCGGCTCGTGATCATCGTGATCATCGTGCTCCCTGCTCCCTCAGGAAATCGAGTTGCCGGGCAAGACCATTGAACTGTTCGCATCCAGCCGCTCGGTCCAGTCCACTTGCTCCTCCGTTTCGTCGAGACGCCGCGGAGCTCGCGTCCTCCGTTTCGATCGAGCTCGGGGTGGTGTGGTTGCCGGGATGGCACGGACGGTGGGTTTTGTGGGGGAGATGCGGGAGATGCTGACAGGTAGGGATAACAAAAAGGCCTTTCAATTGGAGATCGGCATGGAACTGAGATTCAGACAAAGAATCGGTCCCTAAGCTGCCAACACTTCTGGCAGCACCAAATGTTCCCAAAGACTCATTTTTAATAGAGTGCGGTTACACATGCATAGATCTCCAACTCATTCCAATTCTGTAGTTTTTGCATGTCAAAAAGGCTTGGTTCATTTCTTGGCAAAGCAGAACAGCGTGTCGCCTCCAGGCTACATGCGACGGCTGCCGTTGAGGGAGGGAGTCTCAGTGAGCTCGGAGAAAGGAGCTCAGCTGCGTCGCCGCCGTCGTTGTCGTCTCGCCTTGCGAAGTGTCTCCGTTCGGACGCGGAGTTTGGTGGTGGGGAGAATCCGTAGAGAGCTCCGCGGTCATGGGGGAGAGAGACCCGCTTTGTTTTACAATCGGAACGAACGTAACAAAGGGCAGAAGCCACGAGTAAGTAGCCAAGGGCATCGCTACCAGGAACAAGTGCATCGCTATTAAGTGGATAATTTGCGACTATATAGGAGACTGCAAAGAATCAACACATCAGAAGACCTGGGTGTGTTGTTGGGGCGCCACTGTTATGGGTTTTGCCAGGCCTGGGTGGAACGAGTATTTTCTCTTTTTCCTCGCTAGTAGGTTGGAGGCCATCGCTACTACAGTAGATGGACCAAATATTCAAACCCCTGAATCAATAACTATCATCAACCGACCCCCAAAGGTCAATGTTGAGCAAGAGTTGATTGAATTTCTGTTCCCAGGGTTTGATTTGTTTCGTCCATTCGCAAAGACACTCTTGCAAGATCTCAAACATTGAGCTTTGGGGTGGAGGGGGTCCACGTGGTTGGAAGAGATTGAATATTTCGTCCAATATTTCGGGTAGCTTGTCCTTTTCTCTTTTTTCTCCTTATCCTTCTTCCTTTTAAAGAATCCTTTTAGTCAGTCTTTCTCAATTTTTCTCATCTTTCACCACCATTTGGTGGGTTCAGCTCTCCTCGTGGCCCGGAGGTCCACCCCTTGCCGGTCTGGTTTCTAGATCTTCATCTAGCAATATGCAATGAGGCGCTGAAATTTGCTTGATTGGTAGCTAGATTGGTGATTGGCCAGATCGCTAGGAGTGACACTGGACGAGAATGACAAGAAGAAGGGCAAGAGGAAGGAGGAGGCCGATTCCCTGGTCCAATCCGGGATGCCAGCATTTCGATGGAGTTTTCACATGTGTTCACCATATGTAGGGCTGGGAGTGGCGCATGCACGGGGGGTCACCGAAGTGGTTGGTTTTTCTCGATCTTGCCGTGATTTGCTGATGTTTTGGGACGTCTGGAGGAGTCACTCGTCCTCATGTCACTCTCACCGGCGCCCACCTCAGAACTGCAGACCCCCATGCCTACCTGCCGTGAGGCGCGCTTCGAGCGGCCGGGCTATGTGAAGCTGGAGATGGGCGCCAGCCGCGAGGAGATGAAATGTATGAGGCGCGTTGGTCGCGGACGTTTTCTGCACTTCGCTGTTGGCGGGTGAGAAGGCAGAATGGAACAAACAAGCCGCAAGCCTCGCACTGTGTGCACCAAAAAAGAAGTATCCAGTATCCCTGTGTGTGTGGATGCTGTTTGCATATATATATATATATGCATTTGTGCACGTATGCATACATATGCGAGACAAAGAACAAGTCCATGGCAAGGTACTCTCCGTACTGGATTGCCCCATATGGCTCTACATTCCATCTCATTCCTTGCAACTCCGCAACTCCCTTTTTTGTGGTGAAACCGCGACTCGTTGACCTCGGTCATACAGCCCCAGCGCTTGCTTGGTGACTTGATCCCGGTCGCCGGCGCCGACCGGGCCAGGCCTGACCTGGCGGTGCAATGTCCCCCAGAGGCCGCGAATCGGAGGGACGACATCTATGGTGACCAGTTCCACGTCCACACGCGTGGCGACTGGGTCGGAACACCTGCAACGGTCTCTTCGAAGACGGCGGGGCCGTGGGCAGGGTTGGCCGTTGGGTGGGTGGTCGGAGGGTGTCAAAAACACGGTCGATGTGATGTGATGTTCCTGATGAGGTCCGGCTTGGTGCAAGCGGACGAATGAGTCGATCTGTAGAGGTGTTTTTTAAATACCTGGACCCTCCAAAGCACCTTAGAAAATGGGACATGACCCCATAAAAAACAGGTACTTACTTGTAAAGCCTTGTACCCATTTTCCAAGGTACTTAGAGACTCCAGGTGGATGTTTTGGGATGGTTTTTAGGGTCATGACAGGTTCCATGTTGATGCTTAGTTCATGCCGTTCATGTCGATGAATTTGGCAGGATGTTGGTTGGCACTCGCCATCCGCTTGGAAGGTTTTGCGCGCCACCTGCAAAAAGGAAAGGCGTTGAGTCGCCACTTCCTTTTGTGGGATGGAAACTTTTGTGCGTCACTTCCCACAGTTTGATGGGGGAACTGACGGGGCCCGTCTCACCATCATGAACCCAATGATTCACGGTCCGCTGTGTTCCAGGCTGGGCAAGTCCCAAAAAAAACCAAGCACTATAGTACTAGTCACCGACCGCTGCCAAAACCCAGCGAACCTCTGGCAACCGCTGTCGATGCCTAAGGCGAGGAGATCTGCGTGAACCGCACCGACTTGCCAGGCACGTCCGAAGCGGAAGCTAGGCGGAAGCTCATTGGAGGCGGAGGTTGAGAGTCCTGCTTGAAGGAATCTTTCTTACAGGAATCAGAAAAAAAGATAGAGAGAGAGAGAGAGAAAGAGAGAGAGGGATATATATATATATAGAGATAGAGATAGAGACAGAGGAGAGGAGAGGAGAATCCAGGAAATGCATGGCAGATGTTGCTTCTTCCATCAGACTACGCACGCGTCGTCCACGTACCCGTGTGTTTCAGGTAGTCTGAAGGCCCGACGGATCTTCCGGATCTCCCGGATATCCGTTCCCACGGAGCCAGGCGGTTGGGGTATGAACTTGGCCTTCTATTGTCCTGAGCCTTACGTCGCCGAGAAGGAAGGCACCGCCGAAGCAGGACAGATGGCGGACGACGGAGACGATGGAGAAGGAATGATAAGGGATGATGGGGATGAAAAAAAGAATCAGGGCAAAGTGTGAGGATGAGTGGTTCTTCAATGTTCCTTACATCTTCTGCGCCGCCGCTATGATGATAAGAAGTTACTAGGTGGAGGCCATCGCTCCTAATTAGTTTGGAGGCCATAACTACTAGGAACAAGGACGCTAACATCTCCACGCCGGACTCAGCGGCGGCGCGGCTTCCGCGCGCGGCGGCTTCCGGGAGCGACTGCCGCACGCGACCGACACCGAGGAGTTGAATCCATCTTCCTGGGCGACCTCGACACCGATACCGAGAGGTCCCTTGGGCTCAGGCGAAGGCTCAGGCTTATGAACAAGGGATTTTTTGTCCGCCATGCCTTAGGTGGAACAAGTGAGAATGGTCGGAAATTCATGTCATGGCCGCTGAGCCGGTTGGAACTCCAAGTGGATTTCTGCTATGAAAGACTTCGCATCGTTTTTGCAGTGAAAAAGGTTCCACTTCATGACCATTTTATGGTTTGAATGGAGCCCTATGGGAGCCTTTGGCTTCGTCATCCACGGCAAAGGTGCTACAACACCTTTGCGGAGCTCGACTGTCAAAGTACCGACGAGTTCCGGCCCCAGGATCAGGATTGCCAGCTGTGGAGTGGGCATGCCCCAATGGACCTACAAGAACTGGCCCATTAAGGAAGACTGACCCCCGTGATGCAAATGTGGGGGGACACAATGGCAAGGCAGGCAAGGAGTGGGTTGCTTAGTGTGAGGCAGAAATAGATGTTGTTGATCAAGACATTGACATCCACTACCAAGTTTTGTTTGGAGTTCCTAAACGCCCAAATTCAGGACACCGTCACAAAGCATATCCAGATATCAAGCAATTTTGCTTGACACTTTCCCACCAGAAAATGGCAAGGGAGAGTGCCCCAACCTCAAGACATGAGTCTTGCAAACGCCCAGGTTTGCAGTGCGTAAGGAGGATCGCTTGAAGGTGTGCGTCACACGGAAGCACACGAACCTCGTCAAGGACCGAAGTCCTGCCGCCTTGGCCGCCGAATCTGGACTTCGAGGTGATTGGCCATTCTGCGAAAAGTATGGAAAAGTCCAGGTTCTAAGAGGAAAGCCCGGAGAAAGTCAAGCTTCCTACTAGCTAAGGGAGAAGGTTTCTCTCAAAGGCAGTGCTGCAGTTCTTCATGAACAGACCTCAATTGCGCCCAAACCCCCGCGCCCATCGGCATCGCACGGCTCAAACAGCGGTTTGTCAACCTCCCCAAACCTTCCAATTCGACGCCCTCCATCACCGCCCCACCCACGCGGACCCGGAGCCCATGGACACGCTGAAGCGAAAGGCGGCCGGAGAGGAGGCCTCGCAGAAGAAGGCGCCAGGGATTGGGGCGATACCTTTGAGGTGGCGGGGCTCAAACAAATTGAGACGTGGGGAGAAGCTCCTTGGAGTAGAGGAAGGTTGTGCAGAGTCGTGTGTTCTTTGCTGCTTGCAGAGGCTGGAAAGTGAGAAGTGTAAGAAGCAGTGCTGGTTATATGATTGACCCTTCGTGATAGCAGGCGGCACTGCCGGTGCATATGGACATGGTTGAAGCTGAAGGAGAGGATGATGTTCCATACAGCTGCTCGTTGCATGTGCTGTATTGCGAACAGCCAAATGAGTCAATCATGGAAGCCAGCTGGAAGATGTGCCAGTAGCTCAGTAGGCTACGCCAGTGGCTACGCCAGTAGGAGCCTGCCACATCATGCAGATGTTTCACATCCTTTGCTCGGGGGAATGGGCTGAGAACCCAACCTCGGTACGACATGATCAGACCCGCCTGAGGCCTCATCGACAAGCTTCAGGCGGGTGAACATACCAAGCTTCAGGTGTGCGGACCGTTTTAGCATTCACGATATCGGCAGTGAAGGTCCATGAAGGTCCTTGAGAGCTTTTAAAAGTCAATAAGAACCAAAGTGCTCCTGTTCTGTTCCTATGAACCCCCGCACCATGCGATCCATGCAATGGAAGCGGTCACTCTGGAGAGGATTCAGGCATCAACGCCGCCGATCTGAAGAAGTTGAAGGATGCCGGCTACAACACCAGCCAGTCCGTGGCCTTCACCATGCGCAAGGAGATGAGCCGTGTGCCTTTTGGACTGCGGGACCCTGCACCCCCACACAAGTGCCATCACTTGCGTGACCCCACATGTGTGCTCGTGCTCCTGTGCGTGCGCTCTCTTTTTCTCTTTCTTTCTGTTTGTGTGTGTTTGTTTGTATTTCTCTCTCTCAGGTGCTCTCATATGTACGATGTTGTGCGTGTGCTCCCAAATGTTCATGCTTTTGTTTGGGATTTGTTGCAAGAATGGGCCAGAATGGGATGTTCACAGGTGTGGTATCATAGCATTACAGAGCAACCCTGCAGTTTTGTTTTCGGGTCGTGTCGTTTGGCTCGGACACACCAGCTGGAGCGCCAAATGGAAGGAGCTGCTGAGCATCAAAGGCCTTTCAGATCAGAAGGTGGATAAGATCATCGAGGCCGCCCGGAAGACCAGCGAGGTGGGCTTCATCACTTGCTCCCAGCCACTGGCCACAAGCGGCGCCGCGTGTTTGTTGGGTGTCACCGTTTCCAGCGAATGAAGACAAGAACACGATTGTAAGAGAAATGTGACGTAGTGTGGCCAAGAATTTGTTGTGGAAACTTCGTTGGTTCTAATTGCATGAGTGGAAAGGCTCCAAGGACTCATTTCACCGGAGGCCACTTCCATTCCTGCTTCCAGAATGGATCAGACAGTGAATCATCGGGTTTTGGTAGTGTTGCTCTCCGCGTGCCCTATCCCAGTAGTTTAGTCAAGTCCCAGCCCCACAACACACTGAGGTTGGTGAGCAAGATGAAAAATCGATTTCAGAAACTTGGCCTTTTGTGGATTGCAGGCGGTATGGCGGGGTTGGAAATAAGCACAAAACAATTGCTAAGGGGTGGTCCTCCCCTCCAACTGGTTTCTTCCAGCTGCTGGATGTTTTGAAGGAATCAGGCAGAACATGGCAGAAGAGAGGGGGCGGCCAACTGATCGGAACGTGTCATTCCACGAAGCGCGCATGGCAGTGTCTCGCTTTGCGTGGTGCGTATGGCACGTTCTGAGCTCCCTTTGGGGGGCTCCATCCATTTCCATCGCGTCCGATCATTCCATCGAACCGAAGAGCCGGCCACTTCGCCACCTCCGTTGGATCCGCGGTCGCGTGCGCGTCCGACGCCGACGCCGCATGGTTCGCCCCCCCCGAGGATCGCCACGGGCGCCGGGAAGTTCGATCAGATGCTGGGCGGCGGCATCGAGAGTTGCTCCATCACGGAGGTCTTCGGAGAATTCAGGCGGTCCGGACCGAGGAATTCTGTGGTGGTTTTGGGGTTGGAGAGTTCTGGTGGTGTAGACATGCGCAGCCATGTGCAGCCCTTAGACCTGCATATCAATGCGCATATAGATTTCTTGGAGCAAAGTCAGTGTCAGAAACATGCTGAGTTTCCTTGAATGTTTGGCTCGTTCGGTCACAGGTGAATGAAATCAGAAAGCTCCAACAGTCATGAAGAACTATAAATTACATCTCCCAAAAGAGGTATTTAGGTTCTGTTTCAAACTTGGTTCCATTCCCAAGAAGTCTCAGACGACCCACGCGTGCACCATGCTCGACGACCCACGTGCCGCTGAAATCGAAGAGAGGGAGCGACAGTTGAGAAATGTCGGGCGCATGCCGCGTTGTTGTGAATGTGGTGAAGAGGCAAGCCAGGTCTATCATGAGGATGTTGGCTTGGGTGGAGATGACATCGAGGGGATGATGATGGGCCTCGCATATGGGGAGGAAGCCGCTTTCTGCTTTGCCCAAATTTGTGACAATGCATGCAGCAGTTGTTCCAGACATTTGTGCTTCAACTGCCAGAAGAATTGTGCTAGCCGACTCAGCCGACACTGCTTATCCAAGCCCGAGCAGCGACCTGTGTGTACAAGCTGCTCACGTCAGAAAGGCTTTAGCACCTGTGCATTTTGCTGTGTGGAGCAATGTGGTGCTTGCATGGTGCCTCATTGTCAAGACTGTGGTGGGCCAACATGCCCAGGATGCACCTCAAGATTCAAGAGCAACCGACCTTTTTGCAGCAGGTGCTTCTTCAAATGCGCTAAGTGTCACGCGATGTGTGCAGGCACATCATGCCAAAAATGCACCACCTGTGACAAGTTGCGCTGTCCGAAGTGCCTAGTCAAGTGTGTTGATTGCTTAGCACTGCGCTGCTGTGATTGGAGCTATTGTGAGACTTGTGGCTCCCCAAAATGCAGAAGGTGCCCTGCACAGCATAGCTGTGCCATTTCAAATCAAGATGAGGACATACCTGTCAGCTGGCAACATGACCTAAACTTATTAGGTCGACAGACTCATCGTCCTGCTGATCAGTTGGCTATTGATGTAGGAGAGGCCGTTTTGTTTCTGAGCACTGATGGGATGGTCTATTTTCAGAAGCCTGGCCAGTTGAGTCAATGCACCGCCCAGCTGTATGAGTTTCGGACAAGAACCATATCGTCCTTCCAGCTGTCAATACCAGGTGATGTGGCAAGAAATCTTGTGCCTACAAGGTTCAGCTCCAACACAAAAAGTACTGTGTCTGCTGTCGGGCACCAGCGTAGGCTATTGATGTTCAATAGTGCAGCCACTACCTTTTGTGTGATTGATTTGTCACACCCACGCTCGCTGACAACAGTTGCTTGGAAGTCTTTTGACTCAAGCAAGCTGTCAAGTACAGGATTTGTGGTGCTTGCTTGTTGCCCAGCCAGAGCCTTTAACCCTTTGCGTCATTCTCATGAAGTGGCGATGGTTCTTTGGCAGCATTGCGACAGTGGCCCCATCATCACCCTCCACTTCTTCACAATAGAAACGGGTGTGTTTTTTCGGAAGAGTTTGCCAGAATCAAGCTGCCAAATCAGCCGGAATGGCCGTCAGTGAAAGCTGCCATGCGAGGTGACCGGGCATTCGTAGTTGCTGGCACCTCTTGTTGGTCCATTCAAATGAGCACTTCATCATGTCAGGCAATCCAAGCTGATGGCCCTCCATTGCCAGATGGCGCCTTTCCAAACGTCTATGCAGGCAGGCGTGGGAGAACACAAAAGCAGCTTGGTGTGCTTGGTCTCACTTTTGGATCCTGTGGGCGGGTCTTTGTGCTCACAGCTTCATCCTACCGAGCAGCCGCCAGAATCCACATGTGGACACCTGGCACCACGGAGTGGAAGCTGCTTGAAAGCAAGTGCAGGGTCTACCGCAGCACCACGATCGCCTCGTGCGGCGCTCACCTCTACGTGCCAGGGGGTGCCATTGCACATGCCGACAGCAGTGACTGTTCACAGGAAGCTCAGGAGGTCGTCGTGCTGCGGGTGAAGCGGGCCGACGTGCTCTCGGCCCATGTCACCCTGCGGCCGAGCGCCCACCAGGTACCCTGTGATCCATCAGCACAGCCACGGAGGGTGGCGGTGTCCGAGGTCTTCTACTCGCAGGACAGCGTGGCCTCAACCTTTGGTCGGAAGACAGCACATGCCGGACAGCCTTTGGAGAGCCTGGTGGAAGATTTGGTGGGTGGGAAGATTTCTGCAGATGATCCAGCTTTGGTGCTAGATGTCATCGACTGCGGTGGGAGACTTATATCACTCAGCAATCGGAGGCTACATTGTTTAAAGACCTTTGCAGAGCGCACTGGCAGAGCACTACATGTTCGTGTCAATGTGTGGCCACTGAGGGAGGATGTCATTTTGCCCGAAGGCAAGCCACTACTAGCTTCTTGTTACTACTAGTAAGGCACTTGTTACTACTAGCGTGGCACTTGTTACTAGTAGCTTCTTGTTACTACTAGCGTGGCACTTGTTACTAGTAGCTTCTTGTTACTACTAGTAAGGCACTTGTTACTACTAAACCACGCAGGTGTTTTGTGAAAAATTCACCACGCACGACTGCGGTGCCAGTGTGCGGCGTGAGAGTTCTCTCACGCGCTGGCCTTCGACATCATCTCTGCGGTTCCATTCCGCCCATTCGCGTTCAGTGTCACGTGGGCCTGGGCTTCCAACAACCTATGAGAGGTTGCAGACCCCAAGACGGGATCGACCAGGTAGAAGGTAGCTGCATATAAATAGAAGCATCCAGACTGTGCCAAGAAATGGAAGTGCGCAGATCAATTCATCACTTCTTTCCGAGCACATGTTTTCATCATTGTTCATCTAAGCTAGACCACCCATGACCACCTCACCGTGTAGATCCGTGAAGGACGTTGCTCCTGTCACCCATCTTTTTGCAGAATTTCCATCTTTCCAGGTGTGGCAAGACACAGCTTTGCCACTCCCTCTCGGTGATGGCGCAACTGCCCAACAACATGGGTGGAGCCAATGGCAAGGCAGAGCCCGTGGTTTCCTTTCCGCGCATGACCCTGATTTGTTGATTTTGGACTAGAAGCCCAAAAGAAAAAAGACATGCAAAAACTTCAAGACCCTGTCGAGGAAGCAACGAAAAAGGCCTATGTTTCACAGTTTCACCTTGATCCCCTGGTCTCATCATGTCTTCTCATGTCGTCTCGCCATGTCTCCACCCTCCCCACATGGGCCGCGTGGACGTCAGGTGGTCTACATCGACACGGAGGGCACCTTCCGCCCCGAGCGCCTCCGGCAGATCGCGGAGGCCAAGGGCGTGAGCGCCGAGGCAGCCATGGAGAATATCATCTACGCCGCTGAGCACGACGGACGAAGCGGGCGATGGGGGGGCGAAGGGAGGGGACGGGATATGGCGGGATGGTTGTTCCGGCCGGGGAGATCTTGGTTTTTGGAGGGGCAGGGTGTGGAAAGAGTAGCTTCTTGTTCCTAGTGGTAAGGCCAGGAGCCCCGTTCGTAGCGTCGTTACGCTAAGGCCAGATGCTACACCTCGGATCATTTGGAGCACTTGTTGCAGGAAGCGGCCAGCCCTTCGGCAAGTCCGAAAGTGCGTTCATCAACATATCGACGTGGATTCTACTAGCTTCTTGTTACTACTAGTAAGGCACCTGTTACTAGTAGCGAGGCACTTGTTACTAGTAGCGAAAGATGTGGATTAAAGATGGCTGAAGAGATTTGTTGGGTTGTCATGTGTCCATCTTCAACCCACTCAAGAGGAAGGAGGCCCACTGCCATCCACCAGTTGTTCCAGGAAGGCTTCGAATGTCATCACGCATTTCTTTCCCTTCTTTACCATCGTCCAATTCATGAGAATTCAACCGATACATAAACGCTGCTGGTTCAAAGGGTAAACCCTTTTCGCAAGAAGCTGATGGGAGCCCACTGTTTCTTCATGTCAGTGGAGTTGCTCACTTCAGCAACTCCGGATAGGTTTGTTCCGATCTCGTCGGATTCTACTAGCTTCTTGTTACTACCAGTAAGGCACCTGTTACTACTAGCGAGGCACTTGTTCCTAGTAGCGAAACATCTGTTGAGATTTCTGCAGATGTTCTTCAGATTTCGTGAGGTTTGATGGTGAACGATGAAGATCGTTTCGCCCTGCTGGTGGTGGATTCCATCATGGGTGGCTTTCGAGTGGACTACTCGGGCCGTGGTGAGCTGGCGGATCGTCAGCAGAAGCTGGCGCGCGTGATGAACAAGCTGCAGAAGGTCAGTGAGGACCTGTGTGAGCTGAGTGCCTGGTTGGATATGTCCATCATCCGGTGAGCAATAGGCCTCAGAGAGATGATAGACTATCTTTGGTGCGGGGCAGGAAGACTACTCTAGGTCAAGCAGAGGAGCCTGCACAGAAACCTGAGAAAATGCAAAAAAGGTATACCCGAGCTTCTTGCCTGTAGCTTCTTGGTAGGCTCAAGGCCTCTCACTTCTTTGTTTGACATGAAGGAGTTCAATGTGGCAGTGCTGCTCTCCAATCAAGTGCCTTGCCAGTTCAGCGTTTTTATCGTGCAGGTATCGTGTTAGCGTTTGGAGGGGGGTCAACAGGGAAGCGCATAAACAAAAGGATCAAGCAAATCAATCAAGGGTGCACGACAAGGCTTGGGAACACATGAGAAAACCGGAATAAACCGGTTCATGGCAACCTCAGGTTTCCAACACGACAGGTTTCATCGCCTGCAGAAAACCAACAAATAAATCAAAGAAGCTTAGCTCGTCTAAGAATAAGAAAGTTGTCGCATGTTGTCCCCCTCCAGGGACTTCTTTGCACAGGACTAAGTAGCTTCTTGTTACTAGTAGTAAGGCCAGGAGCGCCCCTTTCGTAGCGTCCGTTTCGTAGCGTCCGATCGCTCCGTTCGTAGCGATGTCCTTTATTACATAGTAGCTTCTTGTTACTAGTAGGTACTCGAAAAGAGAACATGCTCACACCTTTGTGCGAGAAACATCCATGACATTGATGAAGGCATGACTATAGACTATAGACATGTCGCCTTCCAAAGCCTGCACGCCTTTGGTTTTAGTGGTTGCGCACCTTGGTCCTGAATCCTCCGGAGATGCGCAGTTGGTCAGGTGATGGCAGATCCTGGTGGCGGTTGCGCCTTCATGCCCAGCTATCCGAAGCCCGTGGGTGGACACATCTTGGCGCATTTCTCCACCACACGCGCGCCTCGTTTCGTACAAGCCGACTGACTCGTTCGCGCGCTTCTCCGCCACATGGAGATGGGAAACGACGCGGACAGACTGCTCCACCGGCGGACGACGCGGAGACAATGCAGAGAGAACGAGCATCGAAGGAGCATCGAAAGCTTTTGTGACAGCCTAGTGACTAGTGACCTAGAGGTAGATGAGTTCAGGGACGCACGATGACGCAAGAATACACAAGAACTGTCGTCTCATTTCTTTTGGCCGTGCCGAGTACCACTGCTGCATTGTGGGACATGAAGGAAGAACAACTGGGCCACTCAAATGCCACTCTAGAAAAGAGGAGACTGTGAATTGTGGTGTTTTTCCCAATGCTTAAAACAATCACGGATCACCAGCCAGTTCACCTCGCTGATGCCTTTTGTGCCTTCTTCCGGCAACGTGCGCATCCTTCTCCACGAGCGATGACCAGCCATTCATGCTTTAAAGTTCGTCCACAGACAGAGCTTTCGTAGGTTGTTTTTTGCCTTCGGGTCATTGGATGTGAGTTGTTTTCAGAACTGGAAGGGTCTGCTGCTGTGAATGGTGAGGTGATGTTACGCAAGGGTCGCGGAGATCAACGTGTGGCCAAGATCTACGACTCTCCCTGCCTGCCAGAGAGTGGCTGTGCGGACGATGAGTTGAACGGTTCGCGATTCCAAAAAGGGAGCTGCGATGATTCCGTCCACAGAAGTCACACAAGTCTGGGTATTGCGATGCCAGTAGCACAGACCTTTTATGTAAGTTCTGAAGCTACACTCCCTTCATCCAAGATGTACTGGTACCTCTTTGATGCGGCCGAAGTGAAAGCCGTGTGCCCATGGCTTAAAGCACCGGTACTGAGGCGAGAGCGTCTTCGAGATCTACAACGGCGGAGTCCGTAACGGTGGCGATTGACCTTGTTGACGGATGCGGCCGATGGCGATGGGAATGAGCTGCCAGGGCCGGGACCTCAATGACCTCAATTATGCAGAATAGAGTAATGATGTTTTTGTTTCTACTAGCTTCTTGTTACTACTAGTAAGGCACCTGTTACTACTAGCGTGGCACTTGTTTCTACTAGCCATGGCCTCCAACCTAAGAGCGATGGCCTCCAACCAGGCAAATGAATACAAATGAGGCATAGCTGGCATAGCTCAACACAATGGAGGAGGCTGTATCTCTTTACATAGGTCAGTTCACAGACTGAACTGAAGCTTTGTGGTACGTAGTCCCTGCATGGATAAGGCATGTTGGTTTCAATGTTGCTGTGCAGTTGGGGGTTGGAGGTTGAAGTAACCAACGGTTAACGGTGGCAATGGCTGTGCAGAATGATTCCAGTTAAAGTTGAAGAGGCCTTGGGGGAGGTGGGTCAGTTCTGTCCAATCAGTATGGCAACCCCCGGCCTTTGGTCCATTCCATTTCGCCAAATCTAAGTGTTCTCCTGTCAGGACTTGAGATGGAGTGTCTCTCTCTCTATCTCTCTAGTAGCTTCCTTGCTCCTGGTAGCGATGCCCTTTGCTCCTAGTAGCGTCCCCCCCCTCTCTCTTTCTCTCTCTCTCTCTACATTGCTGCGAGCCTGAGGCCGACATCACAGGGATCACGTGAGAGGCTTGCATGCTGGGTTGGCGAGCTTTTCCGCCGTTCCCTTTCACAACAGATTTGGTGGAGCTGCACACTTTGTGCATTTGCTTGGCTATGTCAGCATTGCCAAGTCTTTCCACTTGGCGGCCCCTGCGACTTCTTGCCCAAGTCTTCGGGTGAAGCGTTTTTGGGAGTATCAAACAGGCATCCAAGCTTCACCAAGCCTGACAAGCACAACAGACAGCCGCTAAGTCAACTTAGAGGTGGAGACCGAGTGCTGACGAATGGGAGCTGAGAATCAGACGAATCCAAGAGATCGGGCGACTCGAAAAGGGGTGCTGAACCAAGAAGGCTGAACTCTTTAGCACTCAGTCCATGCCTCGTTTTTTGGGGGATGCGTTCAGGGTGAAGCAAAAGGGTCATGGTAGTGCACTTGGTATGTCATGGTTGGACGAACCATGGATTTTGGGCGGTTTTGAGCTTTCAGAACTTTCAGCTGTGTATGATTAATTCAGTTTATCAGGGCCCTTCCCTTGCCCTGGATGCTTGACGTTGCTGAACATACAGCGCTTGCTTTTCGGGGCGACGCAGGCGATCCATCGATGAATCGGTGGAGACCAGCTCGGACACGTCAGGTTCCAGGTTGAAGACCAAAGAGATGCTGTGAAAAAAATGATGGCCGTGCGTTTCACGTCGAGTTCACTCGATGAAACCAAGTGGCTTTTTACGGAAAAGTTGGACCAGGGTCCCAGAATGTAGATGTAGCGACAGGAAGTCATTGGAAACCCCAGTTCCTGATGTCCCTGATGTTCTTTCTGGCGAGACCTAGATTCTGGAAGACACCCAAAAGGAGGGAAGCATGGTCGCCTAAGGGGAGTCCGAAAACGGTCTTATGACCGTTTTCGGCCTTTGTGGCCTTTTTGCCTTCTCCATGAGCGCAGGAGTCGGATGTGATGCGCTGCAAGCTGCTGGTGGATAGCGCCCTTGCCGGGCTCCAGGCGCTGTCACGCGACGGAAGGGTCGGCGACGAGCGAGAGTCATGCGTAGGGTGAAGGATACAGACATGGACCAGAATGGACCACAAGAGTAAGAGAAGAAGAAGATGATGAGGATGAGGAGGAGGACGAGGAGGAGGAGGAGGAGAAACACATGATTGAATGTCATTGATGACGCATGTGTGTGTGTGTGTGTGTGTTGATTCTTTTTTAGCGGGGGGAGCTATAAAACCCTCAGACCCCCAGGCATCGTGAGAGCTTGTCATTTGAGCGTTGCAGCCATGTGCACGGTCTCGCGAGGCGAGACCTGTGCACGGTCAGACCTCAGACACCGTGAGCCCGACACCAACGGCGTCCCTCGCGTCCAGGAAGTCGTGATCGGCTCTCAAACCGCTGGCGAGATGCAGAAGTGTGTGATGCCCGGACCCGCAGACGGCGAACCGAGCGCTTTCCGAACAGACTCGACTAGACGGGAAGGAATCAACTGGCCAAGGGGGGGGGGGGGGGGGGTTGTTTTTTCTGGAGGGTGTTCTGGTGTGGTGTTCCGTGTTTGTCGTGCCTCGGCGTTCGTTTTCTTTTTGGGCGGCCTGGCATCACCATGAATCACCCTTCTATAGAATTGGCTTCTGGCGACCGATGTGTCTGGCGACCTTCGATTGGCTCAACGACCCGCCGGACGCTCTGAGCTTGGCTCCTTCTTCCGCACGCCCTGGACGCACTGGAGCGCCAAAAGCCTACCGAACAGCCCAAAAGCATCCCCAAACCGGCTCCCAAACACGACCTGTCAGCGAGCTGGAGCTGGAGCGGAGCTCGCTCCGGCTCTTCAGGCCTGAAGTGCCCGTGACCTGTGAGCCAGAGTCCGGCAACCGACGCAAGGCGGATGGGACCGATGCGAAACGGGACGGGCGCAGACGGGCACAGGGCCCGGTCGATGGCAAACATGAGGAAGTGGTTCGAGGCATCTGAGGAGGTCTGTGATTCCAAGTGTGTTGAACTGCAAGGAGTCACGAAGAATTTACTAAGTGATTTACTTCTGTAACTTATTTGGTAGCTTGCCACAAAGTGTTTGTTCCAATGAGCCATTTCGACGGACAGCATTGCAGCCACCTTGAGTATGAAGGACAACTTCCCAGACACCTTCGAGATTTTCGAGGAGAACAACCAAATCTGCGCACGCAGGAGATGGGACACGGCAGAAAAAATCGCGGGAGATTTGGAGAACAACTTGCGGGAAATGACTTGTTGAAACAGGTTGAAGGAGGCAGGAGGCACGTATTCAGGGTGATGCTTCTTCCAGGTAGAGTTGGGGAGGCTTTTTTCCAAGGTCTATAGAACCCAAGATGCGCCTGACTATCATGATGACCAGGGTGGGATTGAGTACAATTAGATGCAGTCCATTCCGTGTTCAACCGTGCTTCTGGCACTTAGAGATCTGCCCTCGTTTCCCTCCAATCTTCCGAAGATGCAGAGATCCACCAAAAGGATCCAAAAGGAAACATCGACTGGAAGGACTGGCTGGACTGGGCAACAGGCCCGAAAACAATCGAGATCATGCTAGATGGTGTTCACTTAAGTCTGTGTCATGGCGAGCACTCCAAGGCAAACAGCTCCAGTTGTCGATGTTGTCCTACATTCATGTTAAAGATGCTGCTGGTGTTGTTGTCCTCGTGGTCAAAAATCTCAATCTCATCCGTTCAATCGATGCTACCCACACCACTACGCTCAGACAGGACATTGCTTGATAGATTCAATTCCATTGCCCAGGAGGAGGCAACAAACCCGATGCACATCGTTCATCCTTTGATCTTGCGAACCTGTCCCCGTCCTCCCGCCTTGGGCAACATAAAAGGGAGGCAAGAAGTGTTGCAGCTGTCCCCAGCCACTGATCCAAGCCTTGGATCGTGCGACGATCGTTCCGACTGACGACCAAGCCGACGCATGGAACTTCATGGAAGCCCATTCTCCAGGACTGATGGTGGCGAGGCCAACTGGGCCTTGAACCTTATCATCCACTGCAAGCCCAAGTTGGAGGCCCACCAGCTGCCGCAGCAGAGCTGCTCTCACTGCCATGTTCGACTCCCGAAGTACTTGAAGTGACGACCCTAATCGGAATCGCGGAAGAAAAGAAGAGGAAGGCCGTACGAAGTGCCAAACATGTTGAGAGTGTTCAACACATGCAGGTTTGGTGGACCTACTACCCTGATGTCCCTTTTCTTGAATTTGATGGTGTGTGTGACTAAGTGTGTTTGTTCGATTGTAGCCGCTGATGATGACGTTGTCCGCGTGGCCAGCTTCTTTCCATGATACTCTCACATATCAAATCACAGGCAGGACAGGAGAGGTACTGTAGATAACTCACGATAAGTCAGTAATTCAGAAGGTCATTGGATGAAAGACTCTTTTTCCCCCAACTCAAAAGCCTCACCAGGCAGATTTGCCGAGGCCTGCGGGGGGTTTGGCTGTGTGAAGCCCATCGGGTTAACCTGCGGGTGAGGCAGGTTTTGGTGAGCGCACTGAAAATTGAAACACAACAAAAGGGGAATCTTGCTGGATGTGGGTAGGTTTGGTCATTCCTAACCCCTCTTTTTGGTGGTCCTGTCGCAGGTCCACTCCATTTGATATTCAGCCAGGAACAGACATGCTTGGAGCCAACATGGCATGATGGAGGTCAGATTGAGCTGGATGGGCATGTTCTAGCACCTATTGCAGCTGCCAGCAGTGCCATGAGTTCAAAGCAGGGACCAAACAAAGCGTTGCGCGCTGCACGTTGTGCGTTTGCCCTTTGTTGGCCGCTTTTGCTAGGAATGTGGACCGGGAGGAGGTGCATTTGCAACAGGGAGAAAACCCAGCCAAGGAGGAAAACAACCAGGAGACCGCCAGTCAGGTTCGGATGGGCATCGTTCACTAGAGACCTTGCCGCAAGTCCATGTTCACACCAACTTGGTTTAAGATCACAAAGCCCACTTTCATTGGCCCACAAGCCAACTTCGGAGCGAAAACTCGTGCAAGGATTGCGCCAGAGGTATGATCATGATGTTTTCCGAAGATGTGTCCAGGTCGTGCATGTGCCAAGCATGCAACCATGCAAGCATGCAACATGACGCATGGCACACGCATCCGAATACCAGCCCTTGATGCCAAACCTATTGCCTCATATTGCCTCCAATACCAGGCCTACAACGAACCGAAAAGATCCATCTTCCAATCCTCTCCGAGTACAGGAAGTCCCCAGCCCACCGCCCTCACCGCATGCGAGGAGCAGAAGGAGGAAGTCCCAGAGGAGCCGCAGCAGGTCACGCGCCACTGCAGTCCTCGATTGATGGCGGCTGCTCGGCGACGAGAATCTGCGTGGCGACGAGGGGCTCTGACGACATGCGCCACGTGTGATGGTTTCAGGGGAGGACCATTGCGCCCATGCCACCCACCACAATCCAGACCTGACTCACAATACCCCACAACCATCCTAACCACCATAACCAGGTGCCCACCATCCACCCACCCACCACGAAAACGTCACGCAAACGTCTCGTCTAGGTGAACCTCCCAGCCCCGCTGGGGCCGAAGCTCTTCATTTTGGGGGAGCCGGTCTTGCACCGTGCCTTGGCAGTTCGGGGAGCGAGAGGAGGCGGTTTTGGAGTCGTCGTCAGAGCGCGGAAGGCAGAGGTGTGGCGTGTGGCGCGGCGCGGATGTGTCGTGTGGAGGGGGCAGAGTGAGTGAGACGAGTGGTACAGGCCAAGCAGGCCAAATGGCACATGACTTGGAGTGCAATGGCTGTAGCAGGTTGGGCAAATGGGTCATGGAAGTGGATACGGGTCCAATCGTCCAACCTCATCCAAACTTGGTCAACAACATATGCATTTATTGGTTGGTAAGCATTAACAACAACTTGATGGGTTTCAGGCTGCTCGGGTTCTTGCCAGAGCCTGAACTCACGGGACCTTACATTCAATCGGAGCACAGGTCGTAATTCATTTGTGTCGCCTAGGCAGTTCTTGCAAAAGTTTGCTGAGCGGGTGTTTTTTGTTCCCGGCGCTGGGTTGCCGCCCGGGGGTTGAGGCTACTACACAGTCTATGATTGGGAGGAGAAGAGGCGGATTGGGGGAAAGGGGCCGCGCTTTGGCCAATGAATGAAAACATGACCTTTTGGCTTTGCGGAGTTCAGGTTTGGCGCGCATTCCAAACACGCAGTCATTCTCTAGCTTGTGTGCAGCCAAGATTCGAGTACTTCGTGTGTGCACGGTCAGTGTTGCAACAAATCGTTTGTCGAACAAAAGACAATAATTGCAGTCGTAAGCA